ATTTTTGAGAACTTTGATGAGTTGGAGGGCTTTAAGGATTCAAACCTAAATATTGACAATAACTTAGTTCAACTGGGTACAGTCCTGTACCTACCCACTACACTTAATGCAACGGAAGTAAAAATTATGTCTAAAACACCTTGAGATAAAGTTGTTTACATAAAGTACCTTGCTATTAGATTGATGTATGTTTTTAGGCAGAATAATTTCAGAGAAATGACTTTTCCAAAAAAAATGACTTGCAGATAGAATAATGGGTTATCTTTGTTCATATAGAGACAGTCACTGGTGGCTTCATAAGAATAGTTTTCGGGAAGTAGGTTATCTAAATTTGGTCAAGTGACAAACTGACCATATGCTTTCTGAACAAAGGCAACCTTTAGAGAGCTTAAATTAATAGTTAAATCTTACCAATACATCAGTAGACTGGGTCTCATGAGTACACTTATAGCAGTTCCACAGAAACAAGCAGAGGTGAGATGTTGGTAGAGTGAAAAAGATAGCAGTTCTTCAGAAACATGGTGAGGTGCATGAACAAATTGCTTTCCCAACTTTTGAAAAAGTGGGAAAAAGAGCAAATACATATGACTGTTGTTTTATCATAATTGTTACAAACAAGAAATTCAGACAACTGAATATCACTATCAAGTATTAAAAGTGGAGAAAGAAAATTACTAGTTTGAAAAATCTCAAGATATTCAGATCTTCATTATTCCAAGACTGATCAATCTTAGAAATCTATCTGCTTTACTTTTGTGTGACATGTGGCTGACATTGGTTTGTGAGGTTTCAACCTAGATCATGGCACTTCTTCATATCTAAACAATATGGGTGGAGATATTTCCAAACAAGGATAAATGGCCAAAACTCCTAGTTTGAGTATCATAACTGACCATGTGATCAAGAATGATATATTTAGAGATAGACAGGCCTATTCTCTCTGTAGTGTTAGAGCACTTGAAAATCAATTAAGTATTTTTAATGGTAATTCTTGTACACCTAAAGAAAAAAAATATCTACTCTTTTAATGAAGAGTTTAAGATTGATATCTGCAAAAACATTCATTTGTTATCTTGGCAACTAATAAGTTTGATTATTAACAATATACAAAGCATGATTAGAAGAGAGAAAAGTATCTTCATTTTCAAAATGAGGACATTAGTCCAATGTGTATAATAGAAATAATGATACATCCTCATTTTTATTCTAATAAACAGTGTGCTTACTTCCTTGTTCTATGTAATTTTATTAAATTTGACAGCAATAGATTAAGCTATTTTTCTTTTATCATAATTAAAAAGTTATTTTGTAAAATACATATGACAGCAAAAATCCCTATTGTTCTGAAGATGTAGATAAAAATTGAATGATAAACAAAATTGGAATTTTGATTCAAAAGGTTTAAAAAAAAAAAAAAAAAAAAAAAGATTTTTTTTTTACATATATTAAAAGTGTAAATAAATTGTTAATCTGATGTCAAAATTAAATCCGCATAAAAGTTATTACTAATAAAACTATTTAATGCATTGACTGCTGCAGCTTTTTGTCAATATGAAAAAATGGTGGCATTTTTTTTTGTGCTGAGAGCAATATAGATGTAATGTTAAACATTAAGTTAATTTATTTGAAAAAAAAAAAAAAAATCATTATCAGGCTGATCCCTAAATTTTTTAAAGTTAAACAGATCTTATTCAGCAGTTATGTATGTTACAAATTAATCAGCAAAAGCATTCAACAACATTTCAAAATGACTGTTTATTGTAAAATGAAAAAACAAAAAAATAAAAAACAAAATGATTGTTTGATATGCTATCAATAATCCATTTTTACCAATTTCTTTCAATGAATATAACCAAGCTAAATTTGTTCTTAACAATATTTCTAATCCACAACAAAATTTTCTCTTTAATGAAGGCTATCTTCTCACATGCAATAATTGTCTTATTTCCTTAAAGAAAAAACATTGAGTTTGTTGAATTTAGTGAATATATACCAGTATTTATACAAGGTCTGAAGGATTAATTTTTAATAATTCTTGTCTTGAAGTCAGAACACTATAATCACTTAACTGCATCCCTTTTCCATGAGAACACAATTCTTACTGTGCGAACTTTTTGCTTTATTACTGTTGCTTTACCTCATTTTGTCTTGCATATATATTGTTTGCTTAGTACTATTTTGCCCTGTTTTTTTTTTCTTTCTTCTCATATTGTTTATTGAAAACAATGTCAATTCTGTTTGTTGGGCATTTCTGCCAATTACACTTAAACATGGCCACTTACCCTACAAATTTTGATCATTATTTTACCAAAAAGGTTATTCTTCTACAAAGCTGAAACATTCTCATAGGATAATGATCACACTTCTGCATGTTAAAAGAGAACAGTTTACTTGAAACTAATATCTTCACAAAATGTTTGCAATGACTGGCACAGAAGAATCATTTGGGACATGAAAGAAAAACATTCATCCACAATAAACCAAATGAAGCATTTGTTTGGCACTCTCTTGTTGCACCCCACCCACCAAAAAAATTGTCTTACACACCACTTGGGATGGGGGGGGGGTCACCCACGTCAAGAACTACTGGTTCTTTAATCAAAAGAAATATATAAGAACATGTCTATGATGATTATTTTGAGCCTCCTAAAATTGTTTGATAGTCAAAAAGTATTTTTTTTTTTTTTTTTTTTTTTAACATCAAACACATTTACCTTAATGAAATAACAAAAAACAGAGTTTTCAATTAAATCTGTGCAAAATAAGTGTATATCTGTATCTATGAATAGCTGAATATTTATTTATTTTGGCAGCCCATTATATCGACTGCCAATATTCCGTTTATTTAATCCTATCTTATTGTTTGTCTTAAAATTTAAGCCAGAAATCATCAATGTTTATCAGAAATGTTTTCCTTAACAGGTAAGTCAGGAAAAATGCTCACCAAAGGAATATTCATTCTCTCACTGAATGGAAAGATTGCAGATTGAAGTAATACCAAAGATAAATAACACCATATGGGGAAAAAATACATGTATTAGAGACAGTTTTAAGCTTTTCAATTTATCTTTCATTCTTACAGAAAAGAGTGCTACTTTGATCTTTGATACTTTCTGGGTAAAAAAAAAAAAAAAAAAAAAGTCAAAGATAATTATGTGCAAGTAGAAGACAAAAAAAAATTAGTATCATATAGAAGGTTGTGAGAGTGTCTGCTGTTCCAATTCAGCAAGGATAACAAATTTCTTTACCAATGTGTGGTAATACATTAAATCCTAACCTTCAGTCTAGCTCTAACCACAAACAGCTAAAAGTCTGGGGCAGCGGTGTTTAACCCCACAAAACAGGGGACATAATTCGCATGTGCAAAAAAACAAAGTAATTTTGTTAACACACTTATGAACTAAAAGATATCCTGAAAGGTTGATTATATTTTCAAGTGACTGCAGTTGCTTGAAGTTAACTCGTTCAGATTTTGTAGGGATGTGTGATGCTATTTCACTGAGGGGAAAGAAAAAAAAAAACAAAAAACTGTGGTGATAAAAATGAGGGTCCAGACAATATAGTGGAGATTGATGAAACATTGTAAGTAAAAAGAAAATCTAACTATGGCCAAGTGTTTCAATAACAATGGATCTTTGGCGGAATTTAAAGAAATTCTGAAGTATTTACTTTGTAGAATTTGTTCTTTATAGTTCAAGAAGAACACTAGAAGCAGTCATCCAAAGATATATTGAATAAGGTTCTGTGATCATTAGTTGGCTAAATGATCTTAGGTAGTATCACAAAGTTATAAATTCATGAAAATAATTTTGTTGATTTACATGAATCTTTAGTTCATACACAAACAATAGACAATAGCTGGCTTCATTTAAAGCATTTTCTTAGAGAAAAAGGAACCAACAAGCATCTGTACAAATGGAAATACATATTTTGAAAAAAAAAAAAAAAAAAAAATGTATTTGAAAATATATCAAAAAACAATAAACAAGATTATATATATATATATATAATTTTAACTAGTAAATTATGGCCCCCAATTCTTTTACCCACAGAAGTATGAATGATTTCACATGAACAAAAACTAACTGAAATGTTAGAATGACAGATTAAGTTTAGTACATAGATATGGACAGGAGAACAAGAACAATCTGCCCCAATAGATTAAACAAAAGGCTCAGTTTCAAATTCTCTAATGAAATTTGGAGGACACAATAACAAAAACTTTATGATAGCAACAAAGATGAGGATATTAGTCTAAATGTAAATAATGATGATTACTCATCCCAGAAATTCAGAAAGAAATTAAGTTTAGTATGTTATCATCATTTGCTAAATTAGGAAGTTCTACTTTTAAATAGAAGCCAGGTAACAAGTCGGAATCATTGGATTTAATTAGCAAAGTGTCAGAAATATGTAACCCAAACAGCTATTTAACAAAGAATGTTGTAGGAATGAAAATAGAAAAATAGTACAAAATTGCTCACAATCTATAAATATCAGAGTTTTTCATTAATTTTAAAACTATTCCCAAATATATACACTATTTACATGCGGACTATTGTCTTCATCTTTGCAACTTCATTAGATTCACTTATGCACAAATACTCTTGGGAAAGGTATGAATCCATCTCTTCTTCCCCCCTCCAGCTATGTGTTGATTAGCAGGACAGACTGGGTTCTTTAGTCTTGGTTGGCAACCAGTCTACCACAGAAAGAAAAGGCAACCTACTGAGGAAAAAATCTACCTCATCAGTGATGTATTGAAAGATACATGATCGCCCAAGCATATATCACTTAACTGACTGAATCCACATGTAAATTATTTACACATAATGCTAACTCTTTGTCCCAGAAATTTGGAGAGGAATTCCCAGATAGTTGCCCATTTAATTCTAACTATAAACAAATATAAACCAGTAATATGCTAAAATATTACTTAGAGACAATTCAGAAACTATCCTGATAGCAATAGGAGGCAGAGTTGAAGATAACAGACTTACGTTCCAGATTCTCGAAGCTGTTGGAAACCAGCTTGAATGTCTTGCTTAAATTCTTGCATTGGTGTGATGCCCAATTTCCTCTTTAACTCTGTAGCCTGACGGACTTTGGCTGTGAGCACTTGCCGAAGGGTGAGAATTTCACCTTCAACCTTACAAGAAGAAGAAAAAAAGACAAAGATAATATCTGAAAGAAGAACACAATGTAACAGTTTGTTTATCTTTTTATTCATTCATGTATTCAACTTTTCATGTACAGTTACTTAAATTTAAATTAATTTCAACAAGTACTTACAAAAATTTAGAAATATTTACATGCACATAATAAAACAAGACATTTCATGGTTAATAAGTGAATTATTATTTGGAATAGAATTGCACCAATGATTTTCTGGTAACTGATCAACTGGCACTTGTTTTAACCCGGACAAAACTACGAGAAGCAAAAATTACAAAATTATGAGAAGCATTTGAATTTCACATCAATTACCAGAACAATTCTCCAGACAGCCATAGGTGATACTACATTTAATAACAGCTTAATGTAAGTTTTTAACAGTCGTTGATGCTGGAGAGATACGAGAGTGGCATAATTCGTGGTCCAGAAGTGCATTACTGAATTGTTATTTCAAGAAAACAAATAATCTAGCACAGTTCTGGAACCAAGGTTGCCAGAAATATTCAGGAACAAAAGTCGATTTTAAATTAATGAAAATATTTTTGTGTTAAACAATGACAAATCAATTTACCAGTTACAAAACTAATTATAAACAAAACGATAAAGTGTTAAAAGCTTGGTGTGTAAGTAGGGTTGGAGCAGTCAATATATATGATAAGCACAAACAGTTTTACCTTTTCCTTTTTGAAATGGTGACCTACATAATTTGGGAAGTTGAGGAATGGTGAGTGAAATGAATTAAAGCCATTTGCTGTCATGATTGTTGATAGTTAAGTAATAGTGCAGGGAGGAAAAGCAACAAATACATACCCACCCCCACTTTTTTTTTTGTTGTTTTTTTATGATAACAGCTGGTTTTAGTTGTATGCCAAATGATTTAAAGGAGCAAAACAGACAGAAAAAATAATACTCAAAGATTTGTCTTAAGTCTAGCTCTTGACTTATTAAAGAAAAAAAAATGCTTAATGACTTATTAATTTTAATAGTAACAATACAGTTAATTTTTAAAAAAGTAAATCTTATATTTAATATACAAAACATAAAATTATTCAGATAATTATGTGCAATTTATAGATTTAATTTAGAAATCTCATTTAAAACTTTAATTTATAAATTTTACATAGGTACCTCCATGAGATCACTAAAAAAGAGCATAGCATGATGAAAAAGACACCAAACTTGATGAAAACAAAATTTTATTGTCTAAATGTTCATGTTATTATTAAGAGGAAAGATCAAAGTATTTTGGGGGTATTTTTTTAGCTTTTTTAATCGTTCCGAGCATGTCCAAAATTTTTGTTAAAAATCTGTTTTTTTGAGTCAGCAAAATTGACAGATGAATATTATGGCATCCATTTTTTTCCATTTTATAAAAAAAAAGAAAAAGAAAAAAAAAAAAAAAAAAAAAGAAAATCTCACTTTGAAATTCTTTTAAAAATCAATTATATTTTCAAAACTTATTTTAAGAAAATCAGAAATTATAATGTTTATTTAAAATATTTTGAACCAAGGTTGACTTAGCTTCTACATAAAATGATACAATTTACAACGCGCTAAAAAAAAGATCTATCTCATAAGGACACTTAGGAAACCCGATGCGGCTTTTAACTAATTTTATAATATTTTAACAAATGTAAAAATCTATTATAATTAAAGAAATAACAAATAATTGTATTAAAAATTCATTTTTCATTGAAAAATTTTTTGCTTTCAGAAAATAGAGTCCATATTCATAAAAACAACTAAAAGCAAATAAAAGCTATTGAAATTAAATAATATTTTTTTTATTGAGTTTTGTATGTTACAATTCAGAGCTGATTTTCAGGTAGTGCGCTCCAATAAATAAATAAATAAAAAAAAAAAAAAAAAAAAAAAACATGATTTGCATTCCTCAAAGCCTTGTGCTTTTAACTACTGTAATCACTAAACCTGATGCAATCAAATTTCTAGTGTTTTCATAAAATTAGTTGGGGTTGGTAATAAATCTAAAAAAAATATTTCTGTCATGACTTTAATAAAAGAAAACTTATTTATAATAATTTCAATTATCTGTGAATAGTTTCTGAAAGTTTCATTAACATCAGACAATTATTTTTATTTTTGCAAGATTTTACAAATTAATGTGCGTCATAAAAAAAAAAAAAAAAAAAAAAGTGCTAAAAATTGTAATTGTTATTTTACTAGTTCTGGTGATACAAAGAGAAACAAGGTTTTTTTTAAAAAAAAATTTAGAATGTTCTAAAAAGAAAAATTTTAAAACATAATTAAAAAAACTTTGGTCTTTCCTCTTAATAATAACAACATGTATATTTAGATGATAAAATTTTGCTTTCGTCAAGTTTGGCGTCTCTTTCATCATGCTATGCTATTTTTTTAGCAATTTTATGGAGTTACCTAATTTTATATATAAATTTATAATTTGTAGTTGTCAGAACAATTGGCAAAAATCATGTTGCTCAAAATATGTTTACATTTATCAGTCCTGTAAACCATAATCTCCAGTCCACAAATTGTGATTTATAATGAAAAGGAGTTTTCTTGACTATCAATATCATAAACACTAAATTCCCTTAAGAGGCCTTCTTTGACAAGACTATTTCTACATTTCTATACCAAATCACTTTCCAACCAAAAGAATGGTTACATAAACTGATTAAAAGATTTTGTGTACAAACATACAACTATCTTGAATACTACCTTCTTAAGCTTACCTTATGAGTAATAAGTGTTCAAACATGTAATTCTGTTGAGAAAATGCTGATCAAAATATTTCCCAAATGTTAAATCTTAAATTGACCGTTCAGTGACAAATATAATTGAGTATTTCCTTGGATTATGTAAATTTTTTATTTCTAATTAACTGAATCAAATAAAGAAACAATCCCTACATAAATGTTTATTTGTGCATTTCTGCAATTTCAGTCAGGATTAGGATTCAGAAACTAAATTTACTAGTGAAACTTAAATAAGAGGAGATACTACACACACACATTATTTATATATATATATATATATATATATATATATATATATATATATATACATGATTAAAAATAGTTAACCTAAACTACATCTGATAGCAAGGTTTCTGATCAGGAGATTTTGAAGCAAAAAGTGATCCCTCAAACAAAAACAAAACAGTATGGAAACAGAATACATTTTTATTGTAAAAATATCAACAATACATTTTCATAGTAAAAGAAAAAAAATTACCAGCATTACATTTTTGTAAAAGAAATTACTAATGCTCCCAAGAAAATTAAATTTCAGCATTATATAACCCATAAGGAGTTGATAGGCCACTAAACAAACAACATAGTTAATGCATCAATTTTTACTATTAGCCAATCAAATACTGATTACTTGCTTGTCTAATCATTTGGCTGGCAGCTACCATCAAACTTAAACCTACAAAATGTGAAAACTCACTGATCTTTGCTAGAACAAAACAAATCCAGCTGGGTATATATCGCATCGCTACTTAAATTAAAAACAAGATTATTTTTAAAGAATATTGAATGATGATTGAATCTTGGTGTATGTTAGTTTTGAAATATTTATTTCTTGCTTAATGTAACTTATGCTCACTAAAACTGAATTCTGGATATAATATCAACTAATAATGCAAAATATTTTAAAAGTTCATAGCTGTTAGTATAAAAACACTACACAAAATCCACAAATAATTATATGTACTATTTATGTACAGTTGTTGAAGGACAATTTGGTAATCTTTTGAAGACATCTTCATTTACATGCAAACAATTTAGTCTCTCTTGTCAGACATGCCTTAAAAACTAATTACTTCATACTGTTTGCATCAAGAATCCAGGTAACTGAAATAGTTTTTTCCAAACTATAAGAATAATCAACATCGTGACATCCAAATGCATAAAGTCAGACTGAAGCATCAACAGCTGCACTGATACAAGTTTATATAACATTTCCCCAATCCTTGCACTATTAACATACAACCTACCATTGGTGACTTGAACTGTCTAGCAATAAACTAGTCACTTGACTAAACCTTTCTACAAAGGCACAGGTTCACAAAGTAACGTTGGTCAGTTATTCTATATTGCTCATTCAACACAACCAAATTGTTAAAAGAAAAAAAAAAGAAAAAAAAAAAAAAAAAAAAAAAAAAAAAAAAAAAAAAAAAAAAAAGAAGAAAAAAAAAGAAAAAAAAAAAGAAAAAAAGAAAAAAAAAAAAGAAGAAAAAAAGAAGAAAAAAAGAAGAAAAAAAAAGAAAAAAAAAAAGAAGAAAAAAAGAAGAAAAAAAAAGAAAAAAAAAAGAAAAAAAAAAAAGAAAAAAAAAAAAAAAAAAAAAAAAAAAGAAAAAAAAGAAAAAAAGAAAAAAAAAGAAGAAAAAAAAAGAAGAAAAAAGAAGAAAAAAAAAAAAAAAAAAAAGAAAAAAAAAGAAGAAAAAAAGAAGAAAAAAAAAAAGAAAAAAAAGAAATGACCAGTATGAATTCACTGTCAATTTAGTGCATCTCTTTCAATAATGTTTTCTTAGTTGTGTCTTGTATAATCCCACATTTCTTGGGCATTCTTGGCAATTTACACTGCTGATAATATATTTAGCTTTATTAGCAAATCAGTGATGATATCAAATAGAAATTAATTCAATATGAAATTGTATCATTGAAAACCATATCCTTTAATTAATCATTTAATATCTGTCTATGAATTCAAATTTACTAATAGTTATATTGATGAATAAATTATAGACTAATAATTTGTATTAATGTATTTATAATATGTATAATTTATAATAACCAGTGTAATGACAGGCTGTAATCAAAATATGGTGGAGGTATATGGTCTATTATTTATACAAGAAAAGATGATTAGCAAAACAGACCAAGAAAAACTGGAATCAAAAGGTTTGGATAATTAATGCGCTGATAAAATTTTACCTTGACCAACTCTTCTTGCCATTCTCTCTCCTGCCGCGCACGTTCAGCAGGATCTTGGTAGACAGGAGTATCTCCTCCTTCAGGAGATACAGCATCATATGCAGGAGGACTCAGAGGTCTATAATAGTTATCTCCTAAAAAAAAACAAAAAAAAACAATAAGACATTTATTTCTAGAATTTTTACAATCAGACTCGACATCCTTTACAAAATAAATAAAAATAAACTCATACTTCAGATATATCTATGTATTCATTTTATTAATTAGATCCAACAATAAATTAGAATTTAAAGTATATTGAAGAAAGAAAGAAAGAAAAAAAAAAAAAAAAAAAAAAAAAAAATCAACAAATACAAGATAGAAAATAAAAGCTCATAGTTATAAGTAGGTCCCTCCACAAAAATTTATTGTTAAATTAATTTTTTTAAAATGAAGAAGCTTTCTTAAGGCTTTCATTTTAGCTTTAATTGAATGCTAATTTTACTATTTTCAGTAAGTAAAATACTCTGGTGTATTCCAAACAGAAATTATATTGATTGGAATCAATTTCATTTTTTTTGTTCAGTAATATTGTCAAATTGTCCATTTTTTGAGACATTTGTAAATACAAGTTAGTTCTCAGTTTTAAAAATCTTGGAAAAATTAAATAAACTTTTCTGAAACTTTATTTGAGGAATAATAGCTGATTTAGTATAATTAATCGGATTTAAAACAAATATTTACTTTAATTCAAAATAATTACAGAAATGCATTTTTTTAACCAAACAGTAGCTCTGTTTTTAACTGACAGTAGCAGAGTTTACAAGTATGACAAGGTGATGACAGATGTCATGTTCTACATAGTTCAGTCTGAAGTCGGACAACCGGCTGATCGGTTGAACTCTCTGCCTTCGGGTGGGGAGGAACCCGAATGAGGCTACACCGAAGGGCGGAGTCTCTTTCGGGGAGGTAAACCGACCCTGAACCCGTTTATACGGGTTCAAAGGGCATATTTTTGGCTGAGCCCATGGGCTCGGAGATCCCATGTTAAACTGGCCTTGTGCCACATGATGCCCTTGTGGGGGGGGGGACTAAATACTGTTCTACATAGACTATCTGTAAAACAATTTAAAAATGTGTATCTAAAAAAGAACTGGTGATTTAAGGGAAAAATAACTCATTTATTTTCCTTGTTTACAAGAAATTTATTCACAAAACCCCAATAATAGTTGACTGGCATACCAGAAAAGAATTATTTTTTTTTTGTTTGTTTTTTGCTTACTTTATAATTTTTGACAGAATTCGCTTTCCTTGGGTCAGAGAAGAAATGAACATCTTCCTGGTTGTAGTTTAAGTTGTCTTCTAATTGAGTGTACAATTTCAAGAATATTGATAAAGATTGGTCACTTCAATTTTGCAAAACAAAGTAACGTGTAAAATTTAGTCTTGAAAAAAAAAAAAAAAAAAAATCATTTTGCATTTTTGGCTGGTTGAAGCAATACTGTTTTAACTCGCTGTAAAAAAAAAATAATTCAATGAATAAAAGCACAAATTACATATTTAGAAAGATTATTTTATTTTCTTTCCAGCCATATGAATATTTTTAAGTTTGGACTAGAAATACACGAGAAAATGAGAGTTGAATGGATAAGTTGCAAATTTATCAATCTCAAACAAAATCAGATATCAACTGGAAATGCTATCATTACACAAAAAAATGAATGGCTTTCTTAGAAAGCAAAAATACTAAATTAAAAACCGAAAACTAAATCAAAAACTGGGGTATCAAGGAAAACAAAATCGGAAACCAAAACATAAATTGCCAAACCGACCAACACTGATGTTTATACACTAATAAAAATATTCAAAATTCTTTTAAAAATCTTGTTGCATGATTTGTATTAAGCTTTCCTATTTATGATGAGTAAATATACTTTTACTTAGTATTAATATAAAAAGTGGTAATTACAGAATTTTAAAAGATTTAAAACTTTAAAAATTATTATAATTAAAATTAAAAACAAAATGAAAACAATTCTTGTAAAAATTCATTATTCACCCCCCCAAAAAAATTATTTTTGGAAGACAATAGTGTCTTTAATATCTTATTTAGAAAAGCTTTTCTAGCTTAATAATTGTCAGTTTTATTGCATTTTTTTATTTTTACGATTTGGAGCAATTTTTTTTTTTGTTTACAGTAAGGTTACCTTGTACAAGGCAGAGGTGGGCCACTTGAAGTAAAGAGTTATGATAACAGGTCGTTTATATGGATAAGAGGAGAAAGTAAGTTGACTCTAGACTTGACTAGGTTGAGATTGTAGTGATTGGGCAAACATCCTCTTGAGAGTCTGTTTCATCAGGAAGTGGTTTGCAGGAAGAAGCCGTTTGAGCAGAACTTACTTCTCACCAATGGAATACAGAGGGAATGTGGTTGGTTTGCTACTATGTAAATGGCATGGCAGGTCCTAGCCATGAAAGTTAGACTTGGTGGGGACAAGAGATGCAGTTTGTCTGAGCACTTTCCATGGTAGTCACAATAGAGCAGTGAGAGACTTGCCACATTCTGCCTGTGAAAGAGAATTTGGAGTGTGGAAAATAATTCTTCTCCCACAAGGACTCAAAGACATTTCAAGACTGGAAAGTGAGGATCTGGGCAGCTCCTGCCCAAATATGGCAACAGTACTCTATTTTCAGCATGATCTGGCTCTTATAAAAGGATAAGCATGAGGAGTCAGGTACTTACTGGAGCAGTACAGTGAGCCAATCATTTTACCTACATCTTTAGCGATTGAATCGTATATAGGAATTCCACTTGAGGTTGGGTATGAGTTTGAGGACCAATATCCTCTTGAAACATAGGGTCTCCTCGAGGGGACATCCGTTCATATGGACTGGCAGTAGTTTGGTGGTCTGATCGGCAGTGATAAAATATAACCAGCTTGGTTTTAGAGGCATTGAATGTAACCAACCAGTTTTTTCCCAACTGGGAAGTTAGTGTTAAATCAGAAAAGAGGTCAGCTGCCAATCTTTGATCATCAAGACTTTTAGAGGTGTGACCATATAACATCATATCATCGGCATAGACATTTACAAATGATTGGAGTATATTCTTAGTTAGATCATTTATGTAAATCATACGAGGGTTGGTCTGAGAAGTGACCCCTGGGGGACACCTGCATTGACTGCCAGGGCCTCAGGGGACTGGCCATTAATAACTTCCTTCAGAGATGTACCTGTTAGGAAGAATTTTATAATAAAGAAATCCCTTCCATTGATTCCATAGTTAGAGAGATTGTGTAGCAAACCTTTGTGCCATACCCTGTCAAAGTCATACAAGATATCTAATACTATAGTCCTTGCGGTATGCGTGTCATTAAGGGTCTCACTAATTCTGTGTGCAATGCTAGTTAAGACGTCAGCAGTGGATTTGACTGATCAAAACGCATACTGCTCATTGCATAATAGGTTGTTGCTATCTGGATGCTCAACGACCTTGTTGATTAAGGACTTAAAAAGCTTACTCATGATACTGATGATGCGTCTATACTGGGAGGGAGAGAATCGGATGCCTGCATTCTTGATGACTGGGCAAATGCTCACCACCTTCCACATGCTTGGGAAAGATTTCTCCTTCAAGCAATGGTTAAATAACTTCGCTAGAATTGGGGATAGTTCTGGGTTTATATTCTTAAGGGTGACCACTAGAATTTTGTGCTTTTGATAAGTCCTTGCTGAAATGAGTATATTACCAAACTGTGCCCAGTGAGACTGTCATCTACCACTAAGTTTGAGGCAAAGAGCTTCACCTTGTTTGTAGAGGATGATATGACCTCTGCGTCATTTATAATAGTGGGTATAGCTGCTTTGTCTCTGTTCATTATCTGATTGGTGATCCTTCCAGAATTTGTGAGATCCAATTTGTTTATTTTCAACCTAGGCCTGGACAGATTGTGTGCACTTTGCATTTTTTTTGTTTTTTTTTCAGGACTCTCTTTCAATGATTGCAGGCAATTCTGAAAGTAGTATGGGCCAGACAACACCAATCCTTGCAATAGATTTTGAAATAGTGGTTCCAGTGAGCTATGGCAACAGTGCATTCAGGAGTTAACCGGAGGGGGGGGGGACAAAACAAGCCATTCCAGAAAGGATTCAGAGATTAGGGTAGCAAGCAGTTTTGGGGACAGCATGGCTGGGAGAGGAGCTTCCGTCATATAGAACTGAAAGCTGTCACAGTCTGCCTCCACATAGCAAGAAAAAATGTTCTATGGAATGGCAAATCAGCAGATGTCATTGGTTTGGAGTTGATCTGGACACAGACTAGGGAATAGTCCAACATGCCAATGAGGTCTAAAACTTTTGCTGAGAATTGGTCAGTGTAGGATGTTAGAAAAAGGTCAAGGAAGTTCACCTGCTGTCCCATCACATCCAAGACTTGAGTCGGTTCTTCAATGATCTGAGTTAGTTCATATACAATCTCTGCAATATCTGCCTCTCTCATCGATTTTGTTAATGTGGACTAACCACTCATGCAGTGACTTCAATGTTCACCACTATGTGAAAGTAGGTCAAGGGAAATCTGGTGCAGATATTGTCAATCTTCTGATATTCAATTGAAGATTACCAACCCTTCATCCCGAGGACAATACAGAGCAAAACGTGGTACTATGGATAAGTGCCACGTGGAATCACATATACGGGAGATCAGGGTCCTTGTTTTTTGTATCCCTGTCACAGGGAAACCTGTCCTTGATGTAGGCACTAAGCCCATGACCATGGTGATTTAGGTGGTCATATTTTGTTATAATGGGTGATTAGCCCAGGATTGTGAGCTCCTGCAATGGGATTGAAGCATTGATACCCATTTCAGACAGGAACAGGAGGTCAGTTTTAGACTGAAGATGGAGTTTCACTTCTGGAAAGTTGGAACCCTTACCCTTACATTGGTGTAAGAGATGGTATAACTGGGGTCTACTTTTCTTTTTTAAGGTTGGTTTTGCTAGTTTTTTTTTTTCATTTTCAATTTGATTGCTTTCATGTTTGTTTTGGTTGGTTTGGTAGCAGTGAAACAGATACCCATTGGAGATGCACACATAAGTAACCTGGGTTCACTCACCCGGAGATACTGCCATAACAGTACCCTTTATCATGTCATCGAGAGGCCCCTCCAGAGACAACCGCACAGTCAGAGAAACCATTCACAAAATGGCAGTACAATAGACCTGATATTATACACCTGCTGATAGGATAGCCTCCTTTGAAGTTACTCAAGGGTTTCAATTTCTGACTACCAGGCAGATAATACCAAAACCCAAAAAACATTTACCTCCAACACTCTTAATAAGGGGGCAAATAACCCAGAAAAGATTCAGGCACAATACTCTGGGTGTATGCGTCTCGTCCGCCTAGAGGTAGGGTAACAGAACTCCTCCTTGGGTCAGAAACATTGTACTGATCAGAGATCTAGAGTACTAGGCAAGCTCACTTGTATACAGGTCTGAAAGACCCATTGGGAGAAGATAACTGTTTGAGAAGAGGAAAAAAAAAAAAAAAAGAAGAGAAAAAAAAAAAAGAGAAGAGAAGAAAAAAAAAAAAAAGAGAAGAGAAGAGAAAAAAAAAAAAAGAAGAGAAGAGAAAAAAAAAAAAAAAGAGAAAGAAGAGAAAAAAAAAAAAAAGAGAAGAGAAAAAAAAAAAAAAAAAAAAAAAAAAAAAAAAAAAAAAAAAAAAAAAAAAAAAAGAGAAAAAAAAAAAAAGAGAAGAGAAAAAAAAAAAAAAAAAGAAAAAGAAAAAAAAAAAAGAGAAGAAAAAAAAAAGAAAAAAAAAAAAAAAAAAAGAAGAGAAAAAAAAAGAAAAGAAAAAAAAAAAAAAAAAGAGAAGAGAAAAAAAAAAAAAAAAGAGAAGAGAAAAAAAAAAAAAAAAACAAACTGATTTCCATTCTCCAAGAAGTCCTACTTTTAATATAAAAATATTCAGATCAAAATTTAATTACTCAAAATATTTCATAAAACCAAGTAATGGGGTGTTAAACTGCTCTCTCTCTCTCGTAATAGAGCGTAAAATTAATGTCAATTTCGAAATAATCAGGCAATTTCACACCATAATGGGATATTTTCATTACCATGGGCTTTTGGTGCGTATACTACAAATTAACCAAAAAGAACTGGTTTGTTGATTTTCTGGGAATATTTTGGCTAGTCTATTTTTAAATATTTTAAAACTTTTCTAGGAAACTACATAGCAAACAAGATGAAAGTCAGAAGGTCAAGGCTCGGTAATGGCCACCGAGATCCATTGCTAAAGTAGGTATTTACCCAACCTCCCCAATAAAAATGGCAGAGATGAATGAACAGGAAGTAGCCAGTTTCTTTTATCAGTTCATTGTACTCAGTCACACATGAAAAAGATACAAGTGGGATTGAAACATACAAATTATAATAGGCATATCTATACTGTTATGTTTTATTTGTTGTTTTTTTTTTTTAAAAAAAAAAAAACAAAAAAAAACACCTCTATGTCTAATCCAAGAGCAAGTACACTTGACTTGTTTAGATGTATAAAGTTGAATATTTTCCACACTGTTAAGGTATAGTGAGAAAAATTAAATGGAAATGATATCCAACAAGAAAAGAATGAAGAGAAAAAAAAGCAAGTTGTGATAGATTCAACAAACTCAAAGTATTGACTGGCCGGAAATGTAGGGACTCCATCCTACTCGTATATCAAGGGATATAATTTTGAGAGAATAAGAGTGAATCTGAGCTTAAACTAGCTATACTGTTAAATAGTTAATTAGCATTTACAGTAAAAATATATCCAAACAGCTATTAGGAGTGCCAAAGGTATATTTCAACAGGATTTTATAGGAAAGAGAATATGGTAGAGAAAGAAAATAAAAAGTATAGTTGAGGGCAGAATCAAAAGGTGTTGAAAGAAAAAGAAACAAATTCTAGTCAATTGCATATAGTTCTGAACCTATAACCACAGAATATGAGCAATATATTGTTGAGGCCTTTTGGAAAGGCAAGACAAAAAAATAAAAAATACAATAGTACAATAGAAGGGTAACAATAAACACGATCGGTATTTTGAGCAAAGTAAAATATTTGATATATTTTCACTTGAATAGTTAAACAATATGACAACTAAATTCAAATAAACAATGCATAAACATTCTGATAACAGAATAAAGCATTAGCAAAATTAAATGTTATATCTGTAAATATTTTTCATTAAATGAAAGTAATCCATGAAAAATTTACAAGGGACAAATACTTTAACATATTTGGAGGCTTATCAGAATAACAAAATTCCAGAACTTAAAACAAATAAATGTCCAGAAAAAAAAAAAAAAAACCCAACTAATTCTCAGTATCTTTAATATAGACCTTGTATGCCAATTTTCAGTTTGCTTTAAGTATATCTATCTTAATGTGAAGTTCTTTTCCTGTGATCATCGATCATGTTCCTTTATAAATAAATTGGTTGCCATTTTATAGGATTATTTTAATATACACTTATTAATATTTTATTTCATGCATGAAATTTTACTTTCTAGCTTCCTTATCAGTTATTGAGAAGCTATTTCAATATAGAAACTACAAATTGACATTAAGAGCATCTATAAGTGGAGTGAAAAGTTAACATCTTAAAAGCATTTTGTGCCATGAAGAATATTCACATCTTTTTTTGTAAATACTCTTGAGGCAGAGGTACACACACACATAATACTATGGTTTTCGGATGCCATGAGGAGGAGGTCTCCACTTGGAAGGTGAAAGAACTTTGTAGTATAAAGAAAGTCTTTTTTCTGTCAACTCCATCATTAGTAGATTGGAATATTGCTTGATCAAATATTTTATGAAGGGCCCGATGCTATTAAGTTGAGATATATATCTCAGCAAAATCCTTATCACCATAGCCTTACTAGAAGTGATTATATGATAATAAGTACAAGTCATAAAAAAAAAAAAAATGACTTATTTAAACCTCTGTATTTGTATTTATCAGTCTTTGTAACTAACTGATTAACACAATCCAAAGGTTGCTGACAGAAAAAAAATTGTAAAAATCATACATAAAACCTTAATTTTCTCAAATTCAAACTGCTTTCAAAATACAAGACTAGCCTTAAAGTGGCAAGTTTGTTTTCTTTTATATAAAAATAATCAGTTAACAGCAATAAAAGCTAGACTGCTAAAGGTTATTTCTTTTTTTTTTTTTGTTTCACATCAATCTTTGGTTGATTTGAGGAACCTGGAATCAGAGTTTGAAAATTTCACTAATTCTTATCTTCAATATAAAGACATTTAATAAAAGGGGGTGGGAGAGAAAGAAACATTATATATCAACTGAAAAGACAATTTCTGGCATTTAAACTCTTTTATACCAAATGTTTAACCAAATACTGTATTAAATTTGCATCAAATTTTAATGATGATCTTGGAAATTATTTTCACCTTTTTCAACCTTTGCATGACCTCACTGACCTGGAACTTATTTCATTCTATAAATAAAGAAAAATCAAGAAAGTAGCCCATTTTTATATATTTTTTTCATCTATTATACAGAAATTGCTATCATTTGGTGCAGTAAAATTTGGCTTACAGGCCAGAGAAGATTGAAGCAATTCGCTACTGATCTAAGATCCTCACAAAATTAAACAGATATTTTGAGAGAGAGAGAGAGAGAGAGAGAGAGAGAGAGAACTAAAAAAAATGAAAACTAATTAATGAAAAAAAAAAAGAGAGGCTGATTCTGCTTGAGAGTTTTCTGGCAGTCAACCACAGCAGACAATGGCAAAGCTAGGAATAGAAAAAAAAGAACATCAATTTGTAAGATGGAGGGTGGTACCAAGAGCTTATTGGATCAATAGTGAAAAGCCCTAATAATCAATTCTCCCACTTTAGAAATAGGCTTCTCAATCCACCACTATTATTACCACTGTCAAGTGGTCAAATCATAAAATGGTGGTTTTTATTTAATAGCTGATACCAATGTATACTTTTGCCTTTATCTAATTTCAGTCCTAACATCTATGTAATTCAAGTGCTTGGCTGGTGAGATTTGTTAATCCCAACTTATGAAATTTAAGAGACTAGAAATATAAAAAAACAAAATAAATAAAAATGTTTTTTCTAAATTTCGTTAAGGCTAATTTTATCTGTTTGTCAACGACAAGATTAGGGCAGTTATTATTGATTACAGTTTGTTTATTATTGCTAAGTTTCTTATAGAATAACATGTCTGAAAAGATTACTTTGGCCCAATAAATCATGTTTTTATAACAGCTATAGTTGTTTTTTTATTTATTTATTTATTTTATTGTAGTCAATCTTGTTTAGGATAATGAAAGTGTTGGATTTATCACTTTTCCACATTATGATATCTTCATTTTTTTTTTTTTTTTTTACTTCTCTGTAAGCTTGTCTCAACACTTTGATGAGGAGCCGTGTGTGTGTGTGTGTGTGTATATATACATATATATATCCAATGTCTAATAAACAAAAGCAAGTAAGTCATGCTCTTGAAATACTAATTTGCATAAAAAATCTTTCAAGAATATCACTTGTTTGCTTTTGTTTATTAGACATTGAATTGTGTCACTTCATGTCCTCCATAGTTTGCCTGACTTTTCAGCTAACCTGATGAATATTCATGAGCATTCGTAAACTTAAAAATTTTGAAAAAACAATAACATTTTTGCTCTTGTATATAAATACTTGTTAAAAAACAAAATTCTTGCATTTGCCTTGATATTGTTTCACATGGAACAAAATGTGTCAGCTAAGATAATTTTTCCTTTTGTCTTTATTCATATTGTTCTTTAATAGAATACACTATCTGAAATGATTATATATATATATATATATATATATATATATATATATATATATATATACACACACACACACACACACACACTTTGTAGTAAACAGTACCAATCATGAAACAATTACTGTTAAGCATTTCATCTTTGGGTTATCATACCAAACTTAAGCATTTAAAAAAAACAAAAAAAAACACCACCTTTAAATAAACCTGTCAAGTTGATAAGGATTAGAGCTTTGATCACATGATTGTTTTTCAGGTAAAGGTATATAGAACTTGTTAATTATCCATCAATGTCAGTTGTTCTCAGATTAGGTCAAAGTCTAAGTTTCATACCAAATTACTTGATAATAAACTAAAACACTTTTTTTTTTTTTTTTTTTTTTAATGTAAAGTTCTACAGCCTTTAATTAAACAATTTTTTCTTTTAATCTCAAAAATAAAAAAAATAAAAAACTTATGAATAGCCTTCCAGGGGCAGAAGAGTACCATGTAAAAGCATTTAAATAAAAAAAGTCAAAAAAAAAAAAAAAAAAAAAAAAAACTGATCATTTTCAGATTTTAAGCTATACGGGATATATGTCACGATGAATGGTTGAAATTGATAAAGATAACATTCTAATCTCTAACAAACTTAAATGGTTTGATTTATAGCTGATATAATATACTAATGGCAACAGGAATTTTTACAAGTTTTTTTTTTAATGTGAATCAAGTAATTGTGCAGCATTTCATTACATATACATGACATGATTCAATATGAAAATCATTGTCTTTTCAGAATTAAAGCAACATTGTAAAATTTTATAAAGAAAGGAGATTCAGTTTACTGTAAAATGGTACTGCAAAATTTCTGCAGCCTGAAATCTTGGCAATGCTTGAAAATTTGATCCAAAGCTCAAAGAAAGAACAGAGATAGAAAATATGGTATACTGCATACACACAAATAAAATAAAGTAGGAAAATTAAGTTGAGTGTGTGTATGAATAGAAAGGTATTTTAAGAACATCTATAAGTTGTGCTTTTGAAGAAATCTCAAATGTACATGATCTGTACCTGAAAGATGAAGACAAGTCTGCATGTAAATGGTGTAAACATTATGATCTATTCAGATTGCAGTGTGTATTCTTGTAGAAAGTAGAGCAATGTGTTCATAAGAACAAAACATTCACATTCCTGCAAATTGTTGCAGGAAGTGTTTTTTGGCACCTTACAAACAGAAGCAGCTTGAGAAAAATGTCACTTTAACAGAGATGCTACAGATGTTTTATTTGAAAGGAACTAATGATACAAATGACACAAAGTTTTGGGAAAAGGGATTTAAAAAAAAAAAAAAACTTATGAAGATTGCATCTTTAATTATTATCAGCAAAGATTGGACACCAATTCATATTTTAAGGTTTTAATATTTAGAGATGAAGGAAAAAAAACAAAAAAAAACAGGTAAATTTATAGTTGCTTTAAACAAAATAAAGTCTGATCTTAGGATAATGTTGCTTAGATTTCCTCTTGCATAACTTTATCACAAAGTTTTATAAGTAAAAACAATGAGCTGAAACCTTAAATTATATTTGAATAATCCAAGATTTTAAGCTCTATATTAAAGAACCAATAAATTTGGGAAGATGGATCAATATCATAGGTGAAAAATCCACAGGTTATATCAATTATAAAGTTGAAAAGAGAAAGAAAAAAAATTAAGTTGTATAGTTTCCTTTTCAGTACAAAATATTTAACAAGCACAAAATCTCAAATGAATGAAAAACTTTGTTCTGACTTTGAAATTATTATAATAAGTAGAATTTATTAAGCAAATACCTGAAAACTTTCATACTCTTTCTTTCTCTAATGATTACATACAAGTTCCATGGCAAATACTAAAGAGATTTAAGGAGCTGTCAAAATAGTATATTTTGCATGTGAACAAATAGTGAATATAATACTAATTGAAAGAGTTCATCAGTTAATACTTATGTTCAGACAGGAATTTTGTGTAAAATATTAATAAAGAGTATAGATTTTGGATCCTTTATTTAAGAATCTGTAGTAGTCAAATGTTATGGAATGATGGCTGATTTGCAGTAAACTATCTAGCAAATTCTTCACATGCTAATTTCATCACACGCAAATACATCATAGGTAAATTTATTTTATTATTTTTCATTTTTTCAGTGCATGGCAAATCCAAATGATTTGTCAGAGCCTCGAGTGTCAATTGAATCTAAAACCCACTCCAGACCTCAAATTTATTTATGCCATTGCTAAAAGATGCTGGAAGAATGGCTGGTTCCTTGTATCATTCCAGAAAATACTTAACTCCTGTTGCCATGCTATCTCTCTCTACAAGAGTTAGATCAGATCAAGAATGGAGTATTGCTACCATATGTGGGCTGGTGCTGTCCAGTCTTGACAGTTCAAAAGTGATTACACAGCCCTGTGAGAGATTAATTATTTTTCACCCCACAGGACTTATCCCACAGATGAAATGTTGCCAGCCTCTCACTGCCTCATCACTATTAATATGGAAAATCTAACGTCGCATTCCTTAGACAGCTCAGACTTTCCCAGCTAGGACACACCATGCTAGGTTCACAGTGGCAAAATTATCCACCATTCCTTTAACTGTTCCTTTGATAAGGAGTAAATTCTACTCAGACAGTTTCTCCTCAGAGGTCAAATTATATCAATGTTAGAACAATTTTTATTTAAATATAAAATATAGTTTATAGAAATACATTCTCAGAAATTATATTTATAGGGAAATAATGTTCATTTTTCAGTGAAAATAAGAGAAGACAAAAAAATAATGGATTGTTTAAGAGAACTTTTTTTTCTTTTTTTTTTTAATAATTTTCAGGAAGAAAAAAAAGTCTAAAAATACTGCATTAGAATATTCCATCCTTGATGATTTGTATAAATAATTGAATGGAAATACAAAGCTTTGATAAAATGTTCCTCCTTTCTCTGTAAATTATCTTTAAAAAAGGATAGACATCTGGCCTTTAGAACTTCAGATTTGTCAACCTTCAATTTAGAGACAGTGTGTGGTGAGAAATTAATCAGTCTCTTGAATTGGTTTTATATTCTATAAGATATGATGCCTTCTTAAGCAAAGTTGTTTTTCCATTCTCTGCCCAAAATTGGAGTCAAAAGAAGCATATACTATGCTATTTTACAAAATTTCCAATCTCACTAAATTCAATTGTATGATTCAATTTGCAATGTAAAGCAGATGATACTCATTACTGGTAGGAAGATCCAAAATATTAATAAATGGTTGACATCTAAGATTAGTACACAAAATGAAAAGCAAAATTCTTAAATTAATTAAAATGTGCAAAAAAAATCTTAACAGCTGAGAGAGAGGGAAATGGTACATTGTGTCAGAGAAAAACATGACAGCAAAAAGAATATTTAAGATTATGGCTGTCAGTAGATCAATACTGTTTTCTTTGAAGAGATTTCTTGCTTTCCTGAGAAAATGTTTATACAAGGTTTTTTTGTTTCTTTTTTAATTATAAACTAGATTAAAGAAAAGAAATTGCCTACTGTGAACAGATAAAGTGACTAAAGATTCTCTTATCAAACCTGTGTGCATGTCTAGGAATCATGTACAGGGACATCAGATTGAATAGAAATCTTACCCCAACAGGAGGACTTAATTTGTACCCTGTAAGAACAAACCTGGTCTCCCCAGGCATGGTGAAAGTACATAATATCAATCACAAAAACACGGAAGAAGCAAATATTCAAAATAAATTTGAATTACAGCATTGAAAAAGAACTTTTACAAGCTTTTCTGGTTTTAGGAGCTATTTCAGAGCCCATGAGCGGGCAGATGTGTTCTGGTGCAGGAATTGTTATTCCCAAAATTGAGGGTACAGCCACTATATTTGTGTGTATACACGGCTTTTATTATTTTTTTAATATTTTCAAAACGAAATTGGTATTAAGCAACTAATGCTGATAAAATTTTCAGTATTTATCTAAAACACATTTCAATTTACAATATCTACTTTTAAGGGGAATATTAACAATAACTTATTTCGTGGTATGAGATTTTACTATGCAAGGTTGTAATTAGCAAATTATATAATGTAGTTATTGATATTTATTCTTATGGATTGTAAGAAAGACATGACATCAGAAGGGAAACAAAACATTTTAAAGTTACTGAGTGATGAGAAAACGAAGTAAGAAAAAAAAAAAAAAAAAAAAAAAAAAAAAAAAAAAAAAAAAAAATAAAAGAAAAAAAAGAAAAGAAAAAAAAAGAAAAAAAGAAAAGAAAAAAAAAGAAAAAAAAAAGAAAAAAATAAGAAAAAAAAAAGAAGAAAAAAAAGAAAAGAAAAATGTGGAACAGACCCCATAGAACAATTACGAAAAATTGAAAATCTGGCAAAAAGAGAATGAGAAAAAAATTGATTGTCAGAAGATTTGTGTAAAAAATTAAAAAGGGTAAGCAAGAGAAATACACTGACCAGCAAGAAAGTATTTTAAGAACCTGGTGTGAATATAAAAGAGAAAAGATGCAGAACATTTAAAAGAGATTAAAGCAATCAAATTACCATCTTTAAGTAAACGTCACAAAAACAAAATTTGTAATTTTGAGCAATAGATGTGGAGTTACATTGGATGGATTATTAGTTTCAGTCCTTTATGGAAATATTCAACCAACACAACTTAGAAAGACAACAGTTGATATGTAATTAATTATTATAAGTTTTGGCCCTTTGGGAGAATTTTTTTTTTTTTTTGATCGGTACAGCTTACTACCAAGAGATTTTCAGCAAAAAATATATATTCATACAAAGTAGTTCTCCTTCACATTGACTATTTGCCAATCTTGCCAACAATTGTTTCAGACACTAGATTAATTAAAATCGACCCCAGCTGCTTGCAATATTAATGAAACAAAAAATATCTTTATCATTACCCAAGATGAATATGAGAATGGACAACTGCATTTAAGCAAAGATTGCAACTCAGGCAGGTTAAAAATGAAACAGTAAAAAAAAGTTAGTCAATGGATTGATGGAGGTTAGAGTATGTCAACAAGCCCATATTAACATGCAAAATAAGGAAATGATTTATTTGAGTATTTGAATATTGTTAAAGTAATAATAGATTCAGATATATGGGGTATTATGTTAATCAAATTATGTTTCTATGACCCATATCTTTTGAATTTAAAAATGTATATTGCGCTTTGTTGGCATAATAAAACCATACTCCCACAAACAAGTTGTTGCAATGTTTTTAATAAGCATAAATATCAGCTGAAACTATATTTCTCATTTAAATAGAATCTGAAAATTTTACTATGTAATTCTATTTTCTGTAATCAAATGTTCATATATACTTAGAAAAATATCTGGAGAAATAACCAATAGTTCAAGATATTTTAGAGGAAGATAAAGAAATTATTAAGCCCTTTATAATCAATGCTATGGTATTTAATTTAATTCAACATAAAATTAGCCAGCTTAAAGTTAACAGCTGTTGAGAGAATGAAAGATCTGTTGTTTAACATTCATTCATTCATTTTCATTCCTTATCCGAAACAAATTGAGTTTTTAAAATGTACTTATTTTTTAATCATTTTATGTTGAATGACTATATAAATTGTCCCTTTCAGTGAATTTTCAAGAAGTATTTAGCAGCACAATTTTCACTTATTGCAAAAAACTACAACATTAATGGTGGAATCTGAAATTCTCTTTCATAGTTTATTGAAGATTAAACTGTAGTATCAGTTTTTGATTATTCAACTAGAACAATCTAAATTCTGAAATTTGTAAAAAATTCCAAATGAAGAAAACAATAATCAAGTTTAGTGTTGAATTTCAAGTGCATACTTATTACTTTTTTTACTCCATCCACTTTTACAAGAAGTTACAAATAATAATCGTAATGCTGGTATTGGTAAATAATAATAAAAAAAAGGATTTGAAGAAATAAAATCTACAATATCAAGCCAAGGATTTCTGGAGAAAATTGTTAGTGTTTTTTTAGTTTTGTCCGCGTGTGTTCAGAATGAAAAATTAGTTAATTGACTGAAAAGAAATTAGAAATATCTAAGTTCTAACAAGCCCGGCTCAAAGTCATATCATCCTTGGTCAATACCAATTCTAAGACAAAATAAAATTCAGAAATGAAAAGATCAAAGTTAACGTGCTGCTGTGCATGAAAAATAATAAAATTTATTAAAGATTATAAAAACGATTACAGTACTACATCTTTTTATTCATAAAAGAATTAGTATTAAAAAAAAAAAAAAAATGTTAACAGAAAAAAAAAAAAGACCAAGCTAAATAATGTTATTATTCACAATTTGAATTAAGCTATCAAAATGGAAACGAGCGTTTTCTTCAATTTTATTTTATGTAATTTTGATTAAACAGAAGAAAAAAAAAAATGAATGATTTTTCAGAGAAAAATCATCGAAACTGAAAATATTTTTGTTTGTCGATCCAATACGCAATAAGCTGAAGCGTAATGAATCGAGTCAATAGACAATTTATTAACATTTATTAAATGTTCCTCTCTAGTCTTATTACATAACTCATTTTCATTTTATACTCAAATTTCCCGTTAATTTAAACCAGCGAACAGACGGCCTTTACAAAGTGTAGTGAATTAATGTTTCATTGAAAATTAAAAAAAAATAAAAATTTGCATATATTTCTTTAAATTATATCCAAACTGTCATTGAACAGACAAACGACGGTAAAAAAAAATGGGTTTGAAAGACATTTTAAGTCTTCTTAATGATTTATTACGAATATCCATCGGATCAGAAATTCGAACTGAAACCGAATTGTTCGAGCTTAAAAATTAAAAAACGTATCATTTTTAATTCTAATTAAATGAGCCACATGAATATCAAAATATTTTTAAATTATTATAAACAGATCCTTGACTATTTAAAAAAAATGATAAAATAGTGTATATTTTAAAAAAAAAATGCCTGAGTGAAAAAAAATTAAACAAATAATTACAAATAAACCTGTTGTTAGTGCTGTTGCTAAATTAAACAACTCACCACAGCCCTCGTTTAACGCCTTTTATTCATCTATTTAAAATAAATTTTTAAAAAATCTGTACGATTAAAAATGAGAAAAAGAAAAAGATCTTATCGATATTTGTCTCTTAGACGGAAAATTATGAAGATTCATTCGTAGAACGTTCAAGAAATTGAACAGTTCTTTTGTTTTTCTCTACTCTTCTTATGTTTGCAAGACAGTATTGGGGGTGGGATTCTAATTTACAATTTTTAAAAAGAATAAAGATTATTTCTTCTTAGTTTAAGATGATCGAAAGAAAAAGAATCATGAAACTGAAATACTAGGAATCTTTGTCACAGAAAAAAAAAAACAACAAATAGGAAAAAAATCGGTATATTTTTTCATGTCCGAAAAGATCAATTATTTTTATAAAATGGAAACGGATTCTGAAGAAAACTTAACAGTCAAACAAACAAAACAGATTATTAAACGAATACGACCAACCGATAAAAAAAAAGCGAATATCAACAGATCATCATGAAAACAACAAATATAAACCGCCGCCCCCTAGAAGGAAACTATTTTTTACTAGTCATCTTTTTACTGACTATATAATTGATTTTTTTTTTACTCTTCTGGTTAAAAATTCATAAGAGGATTCAAGGTTTTGTTTAGTGGTGTAGCTTCGAGAAGATTCTTTAAAATGCAATCAACAAGCGATTTAAGGACCAAGCCAGACTTTATGGAAAAACACTCAATGGCATCACTCATTATCAGGAAGTACAAAACAGCAAGAAGACTAATGAGAGAAAGAAGGAAAAAAAAGGAGGTGTTAGCTTTCATTTTTAAATCAACAAAGAGGTAATTTTTAGAATGTATTTGTTTTGTTTTTGTTTTGTTTTTTTGTAACAGATCCTCACCTAAACTAAAAAGAGGAGGTGGGCGTTAAAAGACGTCCTGGTCGTAATGAGGGGATGAAACCGATTGACACAATCTTCTTACCAGATGTTTGGGCATTGTCGGTTGATGTCGTTTGATGAGTTGAAGAAGAAGAGGAAGGAGGTGGCGGCGGCGAGACACTCCGTTCATCGTCAGACAACTGAGTGTCTACGAGATGAAGGAACTTCATGTAGGTAGCAGAGGCCGCAGCATTTGGCTGGTACATGTCCTCGCTGGCCCCATCTCCATTACTCAGGTACGACGGCTGATATTTACCAGGGTGATCTCCGGATAGATAGAGTCGGGTCGGCTTAGTCGCTGCCATGTGAAACCTTCTCCACTTTGAACAGCGAATTAAACGACACCCAGAAAAAGAGGTGTGACGGAGAAGGTTGGGAGTGTAAAATGGAGATAAAGAAAAAAAAAAGGAGATAAAAAAGGGTAATAATTCCTACATATACACGTGAAAAAAAAAATAGATAGGATCCAATCAGTATTTTTAAAACGCCTAATGGTATTTCCGTAGTCACGATGAGATGTACGTGTTAATTAACAATAGTTTCAGTTCAACACAGGTAACTGCTATCTTTTTTTTTTTTTAAATACAACAAATAAAATCCAGATTAAAATGGTGCGTATCAGTTTTCTTTCGTTGTTTGTATATATTTCCGTGGAAAGGAAGAAGCCCGTTCGATGATTATGCGTGTGCTGTACAATTACCACTTACATATTCAGGTTTTTTCCCCCCGTTTCCAGTTAGCAGTAGTAAGCAAGTTATATCAGTAAGACTATTTCCAAGGAAAGATGACAATTGATGCTTCTTCTACACAATTTGTGTTGTTGCTGCTACTGTTGCTCATAAATGTATTAAAAGAAATAATAAAATCAAAAGGAGCGAAGAACATTGGATCGCAGTGAAGCTAATTGATCAGCAGACTGACAAGTAGCAAGGTTGTCTGTTCTTAGATACGCGAAATTATTTTTATGTTTGTAAAAAAAAAAAAAAAAAAAAAACATTTTTAACAAGAATATTAATTTGCATCAAACTTTAGTCTGGTGATCCGTGAATGGAGAAAATGAGAAGATGGTCAATCTGTTAATTAACGAGAGAATTACCGAGGGACATAGGTTGTCCTTTTTTTTTTAGTGGCATAAAAACAAACAAAAAAATATCCCACTCAATGTTGATTAACTAAAAAGGGGGAAGCAAGTAGAGGACATTGAAGATGAAGGACGGTTTCCAATGAATAGAAAATGTTGACCAGCAGCGTTAATGAAAGTGAGGGGGTGGAAATACACCCTCTCCTCTCCTTGTGTGGAGGAAAAAAAAAAAAAGCAGCTAGACAAATCTTAAAGTCCAGCGAAAAAGGCAATCCTGGTTGACTAGTAGCAGTGATGGTAGGGACCAAAAAATACTTAACCATAACCAGAAAACATTTTTTAAAAATGTGTTTTTTATATTAAAGCAGCTGTTGGATAATCAATGGTTTGGGGAAAAAATAAAAATACAACAGAGCAGAGATGAAAAGCTTAAGCTGGGTGTATAGCTGTTGTTAAAAATGGAGATGGGATTTATTAATTTATTTGTGTAAACAAACGAATATAAAAAAAATTCGTGAAGAAGCTTCTTAATCTTATTCATAAGAATGGAACAAATGGAAATAATCAGTACGGCCATTAATTTCTAATGGGTTTTTTTAAAGTAAAACCAAAAAAATTGAATAATAATGGCATGGGAAGAGAGAGAGGGGGGGTAGATCATAGCCCAAGAAAATCAAGTAACTTTTACACTTTACAGACAGGATTGGTTATTTGTTTCGTACAACCGGAATAGAATAGTACTTTGACTCAGGTATAACAATGAGTGTGTTTTCCGCATAAGAAAAGTACCCAATTATTTTTATTTTTTTATTTATTTATTTATTTATTTATTTTAAATCAAAAAATGTTTTACCTTTTTCAATGATTTCAAAGGAAATGCAAAAAAATAGAACTTAAAAAAAACGTGTGAACGAAATGTATTTGTAGCCACCATACTGCTTAGTAATAATACTAATAACATTTACTACCGTTAGAAATAAAACTACTAACTTTAGTTTTTTTACACACGGAGGTCGACATGCCAGTTAGCATTTTGAAAAGTAGTAGCAGTAGCCGTGGTAGTTGGGAGCTGATAAAAGTGAGACTAATTCATTTTCCCTCTGAAAATGCCACGTTGCAGCCCCAGTGCCAACGCTCACCTTTTGAGTGTTACCTTCCCCACTGTCAACGCAAGGTGAGGGGGACGTTATGCGATGACACATGGAAATGATAGGACAGGAAGAAATGCTGAGGAAAGACAAGTTCTGATTTCGTTTTTTGCAATTCCCTAGTTTTTTGGGGGAGTGACAGGTAAAAAGCCTATGATTCACCTAGAGGTAAAAACAACAAACAGAGAGATAGAAAATCTGAAAAATGCTTCAATAAAAAGCATTCAGGTTATAAAAATTCACAGGTCACACAACTGTCATTTAATTTTTAGTTTAAAAAAAAAAAAAAAAAAAAAAAGTAAAAGAAGTCCACCTGTTGATTACCAACCTAAAACAAAATTCATCAACACGAGATCTGTTTATCCTGGATCCATGAAGTTTATAAAATCGAAAAGTGTACTGAAAAACACTGAATTATTTAATTTTAAATAATTCAATGTTTTGTTTAGCGACTGTACACTGTTACAGACTTCTTAAAAACGTAAATAAATGTTCTTGAAGTTAAATTTTGCCTATTTTTAATAGCCTAAGATAATAATATTAAAAGAAAAATTAATTTCTGCATTGAATAGCCAGTACAGACAAAAAAAAAAAAAAATCAATCAACAAATTTAAAAATCTAAGAATGCAATGTTTGTCCTAGAGATGTGTTTCTAAGTTAATAAATTTAAGAATTAATTGAATTTCGTAAACGTAATGTTTATTACTAAAACAATGAAAATTTACACACAGTAGCCTGCGATGTCACAGGTCAACTATAAAAGGATATTACATCGAAAACATGTCAAAATCGCTACACAATTGCAGACGTGTTTCGATGCGTATCAATGCATCTCATCGGTCAATTGTAAATTACTGGCGAGTGAACGAATTTTTTTTAGATTTAAAAGCAAGATACAACCTCTTTTTACAATTTTCTTTTTAAATTAAATATTACGAACGTTGAAATAGTACTCTATTCGTTCTCATCTTACCTGGAGATGGTTGGCTACTTGTTTTCCGAGCTCACCAATTTGCTTAGAAGCTAACCAATCCCTGCTGCAGATGCTCACCTGTGGTTTACACAACTATAGTGAGTGGACTTTAGTTACAATTTCTGCTCGAGAGTGGATAATCTGGCATGATCAGCAGTTTGAACACCACCAATATGCTCAAACCATAAGTCACACTGACTGCATTTTGTGCTACTAGGACAATTACTGATGGCTTCCGAACAGTTCTATCTACCAATTTTTCCTTCGCAAGTAAAGGGTCAACCCATGGTTTGGTTTTTAAAGCACTTTGAAACAGGGTCGCATGTTAAGAATTGTTTGCCCATACTGATGACATCAAGAAATCACCTTCCTGACAAACCAAGGAGGGTGAGATTTGAACCTGGTTTCATAGTTAGAAAACCAACGTTCTACCACACACACAAAATAAAGTTTCCACCTAAAATAGAAAATGACAGTAAATGAAGGTTATCAATGGCAAACAAGATTAATTACAATTGATTATTTTTTAAAAGTAATATATATATATATATATATATATATATATATATATATATATATATATATAATTTTTACTAATATTCACCCAATACAAGGCCCAAAAAAGCCACCGAGGGTAGAGGTTTATTGTGTGATGTGAATGTAAGAGGAGATCGTAGGAAGTGTAAATTACGAGGAGGATAGATAACAAATGACCCTTGAAGAGTTTAAGATTGTAGAAGCATCCATGCTGGAATTTTTAACTTTATTTTTTGAGCTATGATTAATCAAAGAGTAGTAGAATAACTTAAACATACCTAACCTAATGACAATATGGCATTAAAGTTTATGGTGACTGAAGGAGTTTAAAAAAGTTCAAATGATTTTAATTGCATTGTCAGAAAAGTTAATTTTACAATCGACATGAACAGAATGAGACGAGTATATAAGAAAAAGACTTTTTGGATGCAGGCAAAAGTTTTAAAGAATTTTTTATGATAGAACTATTTTTCTTTGAAAACATTTAAGAAAAAAAAAAAATTAGGGCCAAGTCCTCCAGTTCAGTTGCTTTGATTTGTAAAAAAAAAAAAAAAAAAAAAAAAAAAAAGGCCCCAAACTATAAAAATAAACTTTTATTGTCAAAATGTTTGTTATTATTAAGAAAGTTTTTGATTATTCTATTCAATAATCCTTCTTAGCACGTTGGCAATTTTGGTCAAAAATCATTTTTTTTTCCAGTAAAATGTCGACAAATTCATCCATTTTCATTTTTTTTGTAAACAAATTCGTCCATTTTCATTTTTTTTGTAAACAACTTAGTAAAGTTCTTGGTTTTATTCTTGCACAATATTTCTGAAACATTATTTAAGAAAAATTGGAAATTTTAAAGTTAAATTTCTGTTTCAAAACAAATATTACTTATGGAAAAAAATAAAATAAACGAGCATTTTCTTAAAAATTGTTTCTTGACGCGTTGACAGCCTGACGTTTGGAAAAGTTGAGTAAGGAGGAACAGAAGTGACATAATCTTACGAATTTTAAGCGAACGCTTTGGTTTTAAACTTTTTTTTAACTAACTAGTAATTTTTAAAAATGAAAATATTTTCTGCAATTTTCTAATATTTTATTGAATCTTAGGTACTTTAGCTTTAAAGTTTATAGCACTGCGTTTGAAAATATTTTTTAAAAAAGTAATAAAATTTAAATAAACATTTCTTAAAATAGTAATTTTAAAATTTAATAACTGGATAAAAATTAATAAATAAAATACCATGACAGAGGTTCCTATAATTAGGTACCTCTTATTTATGAAATTTTATGGCATTTTATTTAATATTTTTAAATGTTATTTTTTTTTATTTTATTCTTTATTATTAAAATCATGATGGTTATGAAATTTGAAAATCATTTTGTTTATTAGATTTTTATAGTACTTTAAATAATTAAATTTTATTATTAACCGTTATTACATAATCGTTTACAGTTTTATTATTTTCTTTAATCATAAGCCAATACCCCTAAGCTAAGCAGTATAAAAAATTGTTACTATGAGTAACAGTGATAAAAAAAACAAACTAAAACATGACTTTTTAATCGAAATTTCATAAGTGGTGGTAACTTAACACTAGGTATAAATAAAAAATACAGATTTTCTGAAAGAAAAAAATAAATTCAAGAATAATTAAATTCATTTGTGAATAATTCCTGAAAATTTCCTCCTAAAATCCGACAATTATTTGATTTTTGCAAGAATTTCCAAGACAATGCAACAAAAATACCCTAAATTCCCTAAAAACACTAATCTTTGCCTCCCCCATTGACGCAAGAAATAAGATTTTTAACCAAAATTTTGAACGTGTTAGAAAAGATCACAAAATTTAATAAAATAAAAAATACTTTGGTCTTCCCCTCTTGCTCTTTAAGTCTTCTTAATTAACAAACATTTGTTTTTTGACGATGTCGATAAAACTTTGTTTTTATCAAGTTTGGGGCCTTTTTCATCATACTATGCTCTTTTTTAGAGAATATTTGGAGGTATCTATATAAAATGGTAAAAGTGAAGTGAAATTGTAGTTAAAGGAGATCATCTCGGTTTAAATAATCTGGTTGTAATTTCATGTATAACAGAATTATGACTAAGATTTTCAAAATATACTATTGAAAAAAATTTGTCAACATTGCTTACTTCCCTTTACCTTCAAGTTGTAATCTAAATGTTTCAGGGCAGAAAATACCTTTATTGAAATAACTCAACAAACCGTCAACAAAAACAATCATATATATATTCAAGATCACAAAATGAACTTGGCCGACTGATTCTGCTTTCTGGGCCAATAACCATTTACAGATTCATAAAAATACAATGAGGCTTCCTGAGCTGATAAGGAATTTTTTTTCCAATGAATCAAAAATCAGAATTCAGTAAAACTAAAAGGAATATATAAAATGAAGTAGGTGTCAGTATCATCAAGTAGCAAGTTCCAAAGAAACATTAATCTTAAACAAGCCATTTATCTTTAAAATACAGTTATTTTTATTTATTTATATGAAGTTTGTATATATCATGGAGTATATAAACTCCACAAAAGAACTGATGTAAGAGTGTATGTCTTTTTAAAATATCTCACACCAATCATGCAAGTTCAGTTTCCTTATACATCATAGTTCTCTTATTTGTATTTAATAAGCCACAATGTAACAAAATAGCACATCAAAATGTAAGTTTTGATTACAAAAATAGAATTCTTCATTGTATCAACACATTTGTGAGACCAACCTGTGCCTCTTTTTAGTAAATATCTGCTTTTGTTGTGGTTTTCTTTTTGCTATTCATTTCACTCCAAGCAAGATGATAATACCACTAAGACAGAAGGAGTTACTGGGAATGAAAGAGAATGAGAAGAATTTAGTGAGGGGAAAGAACAGGATTTGGAAAGATAAATGGTGATTGACATTGCATTTTAACTTAGAAGATTGTAGATAGAAGGGATGCTGGAAATCAGAAGAATTCTACAAGCAAAAAGTGTGAGAAAAACTATTAGAACAGAACATATGGTTGCATATAACTAGTTTAGTAGTAAAACAGTGAAACCTAGTTGTCAATTTATTAGTATGCTTAAATTCATGCAGTTGAGGTATCAAGTAGGAAAGCTCATCAGAACTGCCATTAAAATATTTATAGAAAATCAGAATGAAGTCATGTGACAGTGGTGGGAAAGCGACTGAAGTCAAGATGCCAGGTCAGAACTGATTACGTGACAGACCCTGCTTTCGATTTTGTCAAGAATTTTGAGATACAGCCATAGCACCAGATGTGACAGTAATATTCAATGTATGGACGAATGGTAGATTCATAAATGTGCAAGATAGACAATTTTTCTTGTCAGAATTTGTCTTGACACAGGGAACCAACTTCCTTAGGAATAGACCACTTCATGTATCTTGAAAATGTGAGCCCAAGAAGGTTCAATGAGTTGCTCTTCTGGAGGTTAGCATCAGCCATGCAGAAAAAGTTCTCTATGGTGATTAAATGATAGTTTGCTTTTTGAGATGTTAAAAAGTCATTCCATGCCCCAGTTAACCAATGATTGGAAGTCCTTTTCGAGAGCAGTTGCTAGTTTTTTTTACTAGCAACTGCTAGTTTTTTTATAACCTTCAGGAAACGATTTTTAAAAATCATTGGATTAAACCAATGATTCATCCATAGCCCTTGATCTTGTGGAGAAGGACAGCATACCAAATCCTGTCAAACACCTTTGAGATATATAAAGTCATAGCTCAAGCCTTACAGTTCTTATCTAAAGCCTGACAGACAAAAGACCTATAGAAACAAAAGCCATACTGGTTATCTGAAAGAAGGCCATGTGAAGTGAGATGCTAAATCAATTTGCTGTTGATTAAAGCATTTAGTATTTGTCAAAAATTAAAAGACTAATAGGGTGATAATTCAATGAGTCAGAAAGTTCGCTAGAATTCTTAAAGACAGGAACTATAGGGATGGATTTCCAACAAGCTGGAAAGCAAAAAGTAGCAAGGCATTGTAGAGTTTGTAGAAACCAGGAACTAGCTCAGGAGCACATGTCCTTAGGACAATTGTAGAGATATCATCAAATCAACAAGTTTTTAAGGGATCTAGTTTGGTGATGATAGCAGAAACCATGGACAGTTATGTGCATATCACAAGTGTTGATTCCATTCTAAGGGGAAAATCAGGTAAAGATCCTCCTGAAGAGTCAAGAGTGGAATTGGAATAGAATTTCGAAATAAAGCATTCAGCTTTATAAGCAGTAGATGACAATACTTCAAACTAATTGAAGAGACGACGGATTGAGGCTTTACATTTGTTCGGTACACTCTTACAGAGCCACTAGTAATCTCGAGAACCAAACTTGAGAGAGGCTATATGGTATCTCATTCTATCAGCAAATAATGACTGCCTTGTTGAGGTTATATTTATGATAAAGGAATAAAGAGATCACATCTAAATAATAATTCATCCATCAAAAATAATTCTCAAAACTATTACTATATAACAGTTAAAATTGATTTTTTTTTTTTTTTTGGCTAAAAAGAGAAAGTTGAATTCATAAAACAGTGCAACTCAACTGCAGATATGTAGAAAATACAGTTTGCAGATGGGAAAATACAGTTTGGGGTCATAAGACAATATCTGATGATTATTGTACTAATTTTACAAGTTTGCTACCAAAATCATAAGTGTTCTATTAATATAGCCATATACCAAATTTAGCTTAATCTAGTAACTTTTACTTTGCAAAACAGCCATGGAGTTCGTACAAGCCTACAATATAAACTGATTTAAATTGTTCCTACCTGAAAGTGTTTCTAAATGATTCCAAAATCATCCCATTTGCTATAGTTTCAAGTTATACTAGATCATCTAATTATGTAATATCTTCTAAAAAATAAAAAGTGACTGATGATTACCTCACCTGAAAGTAAATGTTTCATGGTGATAACTTTTGGAAGTTATTAGATTAGACCATTAACAGTATATTAAAAAAATTCCTTATTGATTTTTTTTTCTCCAATGGGGGATTTACAGTTTGTATTTGTAGATATATTAGAAAGATAAACATTTTTTTTTAAATTAACAAGGAATTTTTATTGATTTTTAATCAATCATGCTCACACACACACTATATAAAATTCTACAGATGCATGGGTATATATTTGTAAATAGATCTTTACAAAAAAAAAAAAAATAAAAAAAAATAAAAAAAAATAAAATTCTTCCATGTAAATGGTAATACTATATCAAGAGAAATTATTTGCAATCAAATGTAACCTTTTCTCAAATACCAACCACTTCAATAATAACAATGAATAACTAAAGTTGCAAGTCACAGAATTCACCAATTGGTGCACTGACACTGATATTAAATGAAAGAATAATTCAGTCATTTTATAAACAAAGGAAATGGACCACATTTCAAGATATCAGTGAAATAAAGCAATTTGTGTAATGGAGGTTAGTGGTGAACTGGGCAAGGAAAATCTCACTCATCTCTTGTTTTATTGAATTTTTAGTGGTTGTCTTCATACAAACCTTTTCAAGGCCCCATGGAAGATAATCACATCACATTTTACACATAAACTTATCCAAATCTGCATCTTTTTCATCCATGAAAGGAATTTTAGTTTTTAACAGGTTTTCTCATGCTATGAATTTTGATTAAATTTTCATTGATAATTTTGAAACTAAAACTTAAGAGCACATATTAATTGTATAAACTTTTATATTAACTTCCAATTTGAAGAAAAAATGAAAAGCAAATATGCTATCATTTATTTAGTATTTCCATTCTTGTGCCTCATCAGCATTAATTTTTTTGTTAAGGCAAACACCAGAAATCACTACAACTATTTAACATATTTCAGTTCCAATTTATGGAGGTTATGAGGAATGTCCAACATTTACAGGTCTATTTACACTACAAATAAAACATTGTGCATAGGTTACCTGCATTACAATGCTAATTTTTCTCAACTACATAGAGATTGACACAGCGATAATTACCCAGCATGAAGCAGTTATTGAAAGTGTTTGATATTTAGCAAGTCAGTAAATAGGGGGGGGGTTGAAAAAATCTACAGGGTGCGATGAATAAATTGTCGCCATTTTATATTTTAAATTTTGCACATGTACATTGTTTTTGAATTTGTTGACTGCACAGCATAGTAGGGTCAGTCAGGCAGTCTGTGAGAAAAAGAGCACCATGACAAAATTCATTTCACCAGAAATTTAAAAATGCTTGGCATTTGTGCCAGAAGCTACAATACAAACATTTCAAAGAGTTTGGGTGTCAAGCTGAGGACAGTGCAGAGGATTTGGAAAGAGTTGGAGGAGTCTAATGGTGGTTACAAAAGGTACAGCAGCTCGTAAAACTCACTCTGATCATTTTAATAAGAGATGAATGCCCGAATTTGTTGGTGAGGGCCTTAGACTAAATACAAAGGCCTATATCAAGTGCCTCGAGGAGGTAGTGCTGCCCTGGACCAAGAGGGTGGCTGCTAGAAGACACTATGTCTGGCAACAAAACTCTACACTATGCCACACAAGCAGGAAAACCCAGTCATGGCTTTCAACCAATTTCTGCGACCACATGACCCCTTACATCTGGCCACCTAACTCCCCAGACTGCAAACCCTTTGATCATTATGTGTGCAGTTGAGTGAGAGACCAACAAAACTTCTTGTAACACCAAAGATGATCTGAAGGCAAGGATTATGGCAGCATTCACCAACAGTGGTTGAAGCCAATGGCAATTTTACTGAATAAATTTACTCTTTACTATTTCAAGATATCTTTGCATAATTTTGGTAAACATATCTGTTAAAATGAGATGTCAATGTTATTTTCACTTTTGCATAATTTACAGACGACAATTTATCCATCGCACCTTATGTCCCCAGATATTAAAAAAAAAAAAAATGCCTAAAGTTAAAACTTTCAAAAATGTGTGTCTATGATAAAAATAGAAAGAAATATATAAGTACTATCTTTACGCATTTTCTACTCTTCCTACCATATCCTTTCCTAGAATTATAGAATGTTTTCCAAAGTTTGGCAGATGAGCAGTACTTTTTACCTGAATGCATTTGATAAGGATTTGAAGGAATGTTGACAAGAAAACATTGGTAGTACAAGATTAATGGGGGATAGAGGAATACTAGGAATAACTCTAAAGATAGGAAATGGTCAACATGTTATCAGTGCACAAATCAAGTAACAAGAGATTATAGAAGGGATGAAGTTGAAATGAAAACACAGGATAACAGATGAAGTTGATTGGCGCCCAATGGATTGCAAATACAGTAGAAAAAGATCAGACAAGATGGAGAGATGAAATCGAGGACTTTGCTAATAGCATACGTGATCTTCATAGAATTGATTCTTTAGTTTTCTCCAGCACAGAAACCCTTTGCAGGTTATTTAAAGTCAGGAAATATTTTTTTTTTTTTAGGAGATAATGATTTAGTGATAAAAGTTTTACTAATTAATCCATAGCTGGGGGAGAAAAAGTGGATTCATTCTTTTCCCAAGGGTATTTGCATGCAAGTGAATAGAACAAAACCATCTGGAACTGGAACTCTTGTCCAGTTAACAATTTAGTCTATCATGGGAGGATTTGGAGGGAAAGTAGTGTATTCACAATGACCGATAAAGAAAAATAAAAATTGCTTCTTTAGAAATAAAACTGCCTGTTATTTAATTGCATGACTTTCTAATAATTAAAGAAGAAAATTATTTGAATATGAGCTTTTATACATTACCATCAGCAAAAAAAAAAAAAATTAGTTTAAAAAATTTTTATAGGGGGAGGAGGGGGGGCGTTCAAGAGCTGGTGTTATTTTTGCGTACCTACTAATAATTCATGTGATTATATTTATTTTCTCCTTGGTAATCAAAACTGGATGAAAGGATCACCCATACACTTAATAACTTTTAAGAATCTAGGATTAACATATATGGCATGATCATGGGGAGGGGGTGAACTTTAGTGGTAATATTAGTCACTTATGGTTAGGCTAACTTAGTAACTAATAAGTTGGAAGTACTGCACTTCTTCCATTAACATTAATGTCATGGAGTTCAACTGAACTAGACACTAACATGTAGAAATACCTGACTAACCCAAATACAGTTACAGTTTTTCTTTCTTCCAAAGAGAGAAATGAGGGTGAAGAATTACAGTTGGGGGATACTCCCTAAAGAAAGGAAGAGTAAAAAGTGAGAAATAGGTGGTTTGGGTTGGGGAAGGGTCATACTATAAATAGCATTCTAAATCAACCCAGATAAACAAGATAGAAAACTTAAAAATGGAAATATCAAATGTTGAATTAAAATATTCAAGGAAAATCTTAAAACTGAGAAAAATGTGTTATGCTTGAAAGATAAAGATATAAAGAAAAGGAGGGAAACAATTTGTTGAACAGAAATGCATGTCACTCAAGTTAAAATATGGCTAGCAAAACCCAGATATCTCCAAGTAGCAAGTTGGAACAGAAGTGCCAGACATTAGAATTTCTTAGGGAGATAGGTAATTTAAGAAAATACTTAGGTAGGAAGGAATAAGTTCTAAAATAGACAACAACACAAACATTGATGTTGAGAAAATGAATAAAATTCTAAATATGTCAGAAAGGTCAGAATCAGAAGATTGTGTGTCAGAAAAGTATAGAAACTAGCACATTGATTCATTGTCTAAAAATGATGTAAACAGCTTCTTGTGGCCCAGGTAGTCAGCAGTGAAGTCCATGTCACCTTCAGTTCTACATTGCTACACACCTTACAGGGTGATTGGACCAAATTGATGCTAGTGTTTGACTGGAGGGTACAATTCTCTGTTAATGATACCAGAGATATAAAAGATCTTAAAAGTTCTTATTGAAACCCAAACCATATTTCTCTTCTGTCCTGTCAGACATGTGTTTATTTAAATATACAGAGACCAACCTAACCCAGGAAAAAAAATAAAAATGATCACCCACACACAGTATAATTGAATTGTAGCAAGCATAAAAGGGACAATAATGTAGAACACTGAATTAATCATGCACGATACAAAAGTATTTTTTTAGTAATGTGAAAACTTTAAAAATATAGCACATTTTGAACTCTCTTTAAATGCAATGTGGACAGGTGTTGTCTTTGAGATTAATCTCTGGTGCTCAGGTTAATTCTTTACTATTCTCACCTGCATGGAATGAGAACAATAGTAGATAACCTATCCATGCTGAAATCTGTTTCAGGCAAAATGAAAATTAAAAAAACACTTCACATTTACATGAAAAGCTGAGAAATAAACCACTCTAACCTTTAGTACTCTGCATTATTAATATATTTCTTCTCTTTCCACTGCATTCTTTTTCAATGACTCAATTGCAGTATCCTTATTGTTAATTTCAAAGTTGTCTTATGTTACTATAGCAGGATATGACAACACAACTATGAAATTCAAATATTAGTCACCCTCAGTGGCAGGATAAACTTTTTGCACAACAAATGAAGTCACAATGTGATAAAGGTTAATGTGATAATTAAAACAAGACCTTTTTAGGGAGAAATTTCAAAGTTATAACTTAACATATATTTAGAGGAAATATGTGATTGATTAGACATCCTTGTTTTTAATTAAATATTTTTAAAACTATGTAAATTTACATCTATTGACCTTTAAGTCTTAATAAACAGAATGTCTTCTGACAGGAACCAAAACTGTATGCCCTTTACAGGAGAAACCTCTATCTGGCTCAACAAGCTTTAGACCTTTCAGCTATGAAAAATTTCACATTCCATCAAGGTTCAAGAAATAGTTTCTCCTTATGTGAGAAACCATTTCTTGAACCTTGATGGGATGAAGGAGAAACCCAGTTCAAATCTTACTGTAAGGCACATTTTCTTTCTCAAGAGTCGAATATACAGGCTGAAAGACATAAAATTGTTATAATAAAAAAAAAAAAAAAAAAAAAAAGTGCTTGTCTACTCAAACATCTACACTAAATATAACATTTAAAGTAGTATGAAATAATGTCAGATAATAAATAAAATTCCATTAACTCCAAAGAAATCTATATAAACTCTGGTGTCCCAATCTTAATCCCTTTTTATCCTTTTGCATTTATTATATTTAGCTCTTCATGGTTTCATACATTCTGAATATTTTTATAGCTTGCAAGTTAGAACATGTATTTTAAAACTCAATTGTTTTTTTCTAAATAATATCTTGTATCATATTTTATCTCAGCACGGTAGCAATATCTCACACACACAATCTGGGAAAAATGTAAAAGACTAAAGATTAATTAACAACTAAATTAAAAATTTATTCCACAAAACAAAATCAATCTATCAAAGGTCCACATTGATTACTTAGAAATGAAGAGGTTGGAATCTACTAGTGGTAAGAGGAATCTACCAATTATGT